CGCCTCCGCCAGGACCCTAACCCCTGAGGGGAAGGGATCGTCCCACTCTGGTGATCAGGTACTTCACAAAAACCTCTGGCGTCCCCTGGATGTCTGAAGTCTCTGGGCAAAGGCCGGTGAATAGAAACAGGGGAGACCCCGTGATACAAACTACCCACATCCTGCATTCCAAGGTGACTGGCTCCAAGATTGTTAGTAAATGGGCCTGCATGGTACTGACTAGAAACCCCCACCTCACACACCTGGAGGGTATTTCGACCGCATAGTAAAGCTAATTTTTCCTCCTTTCTACTCTCCCTTTCCCCATAAGAAAACCCTTTCCTCCAGATCTTATATGTTGCTTCATTCACCCAGTTGCTCTGACCTAAAATCAAAACATCCCTTAATAGTGTTTACTAAAGGTGATTGTAGAAATTCTGCCTAAAAATAACATCCTTTAAACTGAAACTATTAACTATACAAGTTGCTCCTATGCTATTTTCCTCTGGACCAAGATGGAAATCTCCAATAAAAGCCAGGAGTGACCAAAACTATTGCTACTGTGCTGTTTGGATGGAGGGAGAACAAAAATAAACTTTAATCTCTCCCAAATTTCCAACTTTGAGCACCTTAGCAATTTAAAGATCCACGTGGCATTTTTATTGGTAATTTTAAATTAAGGGTTTTTAATTGATATGAATTTCAGAAGTTTATTTTGCCTTATGCATCAATTGTTTACTTTCCTAAATCAGAAGACCTCTTTCCTTAAGATTATTTAAAAATCTGAGTTTGTTTCCAACACATCATATTGCAGGCTCATCCCTGTCTTGCTAAGGGACACCTAAAAACTATTATATACTTACACATATTACAATCATGAGGCTGTATTGTAAATTAACACTGTTAAACTTTATCTATTTTCAAATAGCTGAAATATTATTGTCTTCTAAGGCTAGAAGGGGTTTTGTTTTCATAAAATTGGTTAAGAAATTACATCCTTTCAGTTATCCGAGATTAAGTGCATTTTCAGTGAAAGAAACATGGAATGACTGAGGTTGCTTGGTGGTAGTGAGATTGAGGAAGAGATAGCATTGTCAGTGTAGATAATTTTCACCCTGAACACAGTGTGTGTGGTTTTAAATTTTTCAATCCTTCTCCTATAGTTGCCAAGATTTTCATCTATTCGATGGATGTACATGTGTTCAAGGTCTGTGGTTTTGAATCAGCAAAAGATTCTGTACTACAAATGCCTCCAATCTAGGGTTTGGAAAATGTGGGAAGCCTAGGTCCCTTCTTAGATGCCTGCAGTTCTGTAGTTCTAAATTTTGGCCAACATGAGGAACAAAGGTAATCTGTGCAGGTGACTTCCATTCTCCTGTGGACAGCCAACGTTTGTGGCAGAGGCTTGTGAGTTAAAGGACCCCCAGGCACAAAATGTGAAAAGGTCCCAAAGGTAGAGTGACAGCCTTATCCTTTTAGGCAAAGAAAGGAACAAACATTAGAGACTTACCTCTTGGAAACAGGTCAATGAGGGTCTTTTTATTAACTTCATTGTATGAAAAAAAGTAACATTCAACAAAAATGGGTATCAATTTTAAATACACAGAAACCAGGAAACTCGCTTTTAAAAACTGAGTGTAAATCATGTTTTGTTCACAACATATGTTAGAATTTCCTTGTTGCATGCAAATCAATGAAGATCACAACACATCACAACACAATGTGGAAAAAAGTATGACTTATCTTTCTAGTTTTAATTACAGTACTGTAATAAAGCTGGGATTAGGTCAAAATGCAATCTACTTGTAAATCTATGCCTACCAATGTGCAAGCCAGCCTATAAGATTGTTTCTAAAATTCAGAAGAAATTAAAAAAAAAACTTTCTATAATGGCTTGCCTATTTTTTTCACACATTATATTTTTTTCCATGGTGACTCACCCATTTTTAAATTTCCAGCTCCCCTACCCCATGAAGATTTAGAATCCCCAAGCATCACAATTAACCCAAATTAGGTCTAAGATGCTAATGGAGACTTTGCTTGGGACCTTGCCTTCAGACTACATTTCTGACTTTGAAACTAACATCCACACATTCCTGCTATACCTGCTGCAGTAAAAGAGGCAGACGTTTGGGGATAGAGAAGAATTCTGGAACACAGAGCAGGAAGGGATATACCAAAAAAAATAATGATTTTCCCTCACTATCCCAAGGGAAGAAAGAATAAAAATACATATCAGCAAACAATAAAACTGAAATGACCACATCTATTAACTAGGCCTGTTCTCTGTTTATAAAGAATTTTCTGGGATCCCCATCCTCAATTCCTGACTTATAGGGAATAGGTCCACCAAGTTCATGCCTGTTTTCTGGAGAGCATGAAGGCTGGACATTGATGAATGTTGTTCTACAACCAGTGGTTCTCTCCTGGCTCTGAAAGCTAAATGAAATTAGACTCCTCAGGCAGTCACTACTCCTGAAAACCTCTGGAACAGGGATCCTGAAGGAAAAGCTTCCAAATTTCACTAAACTCCGCAGAATTTTTTAAGGGGTGCATCTGATAAAAGGGCTTCTGGTATTATGTGTGGACAGTCAGGGCCAGGATGTGTGGGAAGAGGGGGATAGAAGTTAGCATGCCTGATTGCTTCTGGAACTATAACCCACACAGGTGGAATTCTATCAACTAAGAGCATTCATTTCCTAAAACCTCTCTCCCTAGGCTTTGGAATTTCACCTAAAGCTGGGAAATCTTCCCAGCCTTGGAAGTGTCCCTTGTCTGTGGGAGAAGGGAAATCTCCAGCAGAGAATTGGCTTTTATTTTAAAATACTCGGGAAAACCTCTCATTCATTGTAGGACCTGAAGAGAAAGCCAGCAGGGTATCATTCCCCTGCTTTAGAACATACCACCCAACAACTGACCCAGGGTGCTGAAGTGGGGCAGCAAAAGACCAGGTAACATAAGGGAGAGGAAATTGGACCTTACAACAAAAGTAAAACAAATAAGTATTATTCTAGCCCTCTTTTCCTCTCCTGCTCTTCTCCCTCCCCGACTCTAACAATAAGCCACCAGAGTCTCCTAGAAGAATCTGAATTTCTGCTCTTAAACAGCCCTTTTCCAAGGAGGAACAAGGTCTGTTTCCTGATGTGGGGCTTCCGATGCTTTGTTATTGCAACTTAATTTTGTCATTGCTTCTTTTCAACGATTATTTGAAATGAATTGTTTCTTTTGTTTACTATCCAACAAATGACCTCTGCTAATCTTATATTTTATCTCCCTAACATATGGAAAAGCTATTTATTCTAGCCAATCACAATAAAGTAAAGAAAACCCCATTTTATGGAAAGGTATATATCACTAGTCTGTTGATCATTAAAGATATGATTACCAGTGAAAACCCTCTGAAGGTGGCACATTTATGCTTCCAGGAACAGATGGGGACACGCATTTTCCTTGCAAATACTTTTGAAATTGCTCTACTGGTAGCAGTATAAAAATGATATACAGATGCCAGGGCCTGCATGGCCAGGATGAGTATGCCAGATTTACACAGTAAAGCCTTCACACACAGGCTGTCAGTTTTGATTGATCTCTACTATACCTCAGGAACTTGTTGACTAGGTAGGGAAACAGTGCAAATAATTCACTGCAGCAAGTCAGATAATTCACACAACCAATCGGTCTGCTTCACTTTCTGGTTGTGACATACGAGCTTTCTCTACAAAGACGCATCATTTTCCAGCTTGAGCAATATTCAATGTCAGGGAAGAAAACGTATTAAAGCCACACAAAAGAAGTCTGACTATTGCAGGATGAGAAGTTGTTTTGGTAATGGGGGCCAGATCCTACTCTACTCAGTCCTACCAGGGCATTCTGGCCCAACTGTTATTATCATATTGATTAAAAAAAAGTTCATCATAGTACAATTTTAGGTTTATCGCCAACGGATCAGGAAAGAGCAAAGAATTATCCCACAAAAGCACAACATTCTTACCACAGGGACGTTTCCCTGTTCCAGTTCATTGATGGAGTTGATTAAGTTTAAATGAAGCAGACACTGGATAAAAGTAAGGGTATTGACCACTGGGCACTGCGATCCGTGCTTGAAAGGACCTGATACATGCAGAAAAGCAAGATTTGCTAAATGCTCTAATCTTCAATCAAATCTTACATCAATACAGACAAAGTTTGGTAATGAGAGATTCAATGAAGCATGCGGGAGAAAGAATTAATCCTCTTGGTCTAAACTGGCTTCAACTTTGAAGATTGCTCCTAAGGAAAGACAGTTATCTAAATGCTAAATAAGAAACTTATTGTACTTTTCATGGCATGCTAATCTTTTGTCTATTTCATCTCCATTATGTGTATGCTCATAGACTGCAGTTGTCATGGTGATTATATCTAGCCACGCTCAGGGGATGGTGGTGAGAAGCCAGGCGTCGAGGTGGAAAACACCCCACACAATGCACAGTACATGCACACACGCGTGCGCACACACACACACACACACACACACAACACACACACAAACACTGAAGGGAAATGAGGAGGAAACAGACAAGACCCATTCTAGGCTCTTCCTGCCAGAATTTGAGAAGGCTGGGCCTCCTGTGCCTTAAATGGAGAGGTGTCTTCAGCAAAGTAGTTGT